TGTAAAAAGTCAAATTTTTTTCATTTTTTATTAAAAAAATCTGTTTACCATACAATCGAGAATTTTGAATTAGACAAAACACTATAACATGTATCTTTACCTAATTGTAGCAGATCATGCTTATTAAAAAAAATCGGATTACATAATAATCGGGCCAAATTTCAAATTAAAATTTAAAAATCTATTATCATTTGATTACTACTTTCTTTAATTCGGACTTTTTTTAAACATAAAACAAAGTCATATAATATTAATTTGAAATTCAAAATGAAATCAGATTGTAACATCCTAAAAATTTGGGTTTTGTTTAATTATCTATAATACAAATTTGAAATTGATTGAATACACTTACAAAATAAATAATGATTTCATACACTTACAAAATATCGTATATATTCTGGTAAATAATTTAATCGATTTATTTAAGACTATCTACAATCTTAATATAATTTGTGGCGATAGACGATGTACCAAAAGACCAAACAAATAACTTTGTGTACAATGATGTGTTTAATAATATATAACGTTACATTGTGTTTCATTTCAATATATGTATTTTACGTTATTCCAATCATCCAAATTTAGCTGCTTACCTTAATAAAACTAGCTCATGCATCGCATGGGTACCACACTAGTTTGAAAAGTAAAATAATATGTACATTATATAAATAAAGAAAATACTAATCAGGTTTATATTGCAATCCAAACCTAAACTATTTGGTATAAAAAAATAGTAATTTTTATATGAGTAATAATATTCTTCCATATACGATTACGAAGCATGCGAAACTGTCACTTAGACTCAACGTATTTTGAAATTACATTTACACTGTCATTCAAAACCAAGCTTAGAGCGTGTTTGTGTTCGTGGTTTTACTATATAATATATATTATATACTATATGTTATATACTATCTTACCATATATTATATACTATATATTATCTTACTATATAATATATATTATCTTACTATATACTATATATTATAAAATATAAACTATATTTTATAAACTATATACTACAAACTATATATTTATATTTATTTCTATCGCATTTTGAAATTATATATAAAGTGATATAATAGATTTTTGTCAAGTTCCAAGTATTGAATTGATATTTACCAATAATTGAAGCTTTAATGTTTTTTTCCCTCCAAAGTTTTCACTCTTTTTCATCTTTTCTATTTTTTTTTTTTTTTGGGTACAATGAAGGAGGTCGAAGCCTAGGCTAAGACTCGACGTGGGTATGACACCCCTATGAGATCATGCTCTAGCCAAACTCCCATTACTAAGAGGCGAGGTAACACGTAAATGTGCTTTAACACATAAATTGAGAAATATTATTATGTGCTTTTAACACATAAATTGAGAAATATTATTATGTGCTTTAACTCCATTATATTCTTTCTAAATATTATTATGTGCTTTAACACATAAATTGAGAAATTTATCCTTGTCAATATTAGCCTTATTTAAAACAAATTAACATTAATTAATTTTTATTAGCTTTTTTTTTTATGTTCTTTTAAGAGAGAAAACTCATTGTCTTCCACAATTTTCCTTTCAAAACGTGCAATGTATTAATTAAATGAGTGTAACAATGGAAAAATGTGTATAAAAGATCTAAAACGATATTTATTCAATCAATAAAGCTAAAATTACAAATAAGATGGAGTAGTTTTTAACAAAACAATTAATCAAATAGACAAAAATTAATTAATCAACAAAATAAGTCCCAAAATTGATAAAGATTGAAGGATCTTGTCCTTTTTGAAAAGCCAAACTATCAACACACAACAACATAGGTCCATGTACTGAGACCGATCAGTTGGGCCTACTACAGTAGTAACGGGCTCATGAAGTTAAGAGCCCGTGAGTTGAGTCCATTAAGTCCGCCCATCAAGACCTTGTCCCGTACAATTCCGGTATTTCAAACAAGGTGAGGAAGTTGTTTTGGACACGTAGTCACAACACAAGTGCTACGTGTATGCTTCTCAGTCCTTCACAAGCACACGTGGCACATTTTTTTATCTTATTATATATACACGCATAATAATTATATTACAGAAGATATTATGATCTCTCTCTCTCTCCTTAATTTCTCAGAATAATAAAAGTTCGCTTATTAATTTGTTAAAAAAAAATTCGAAAAATGGTAGTGACGAGCACAAAATTAGAGGGTAGTGACGATGAGGAGGAACACGTCCACTCGACCTTCGCTTCCAGATACGTCCGCACATCTCTTCCCAGGTATATATATATATATATATGATCTGTCTCTATTATAATATCCGAAATGCTACGGTCTCGTTACAGAATCATTCTGTCCAGATTTATCACTGTTAGATCATCATGTAACCATGTAACCGTCAGGATAGTTGATCTAACGGTTACAAACTCCGACAGAATGGTTCCGTAACGAGACCGTAGCGTCTCCCTATAATATCAATGTAAATAGATTAATTTTTAATTTAATTCAATTTATTTGGTCGATAATAATAATAATAATAAATAAATAGAAATAAGATCCCGAGCGGGTTGATGCCGAAGGAGGCGGCGTATCAGATAGTGAATGACGAGCTAATGCTGGACGGGAACCCTCGCCTGAATTTGGCCTCGTTTGTGACGACTTGGATGGAGCCTGAAGTCGACAAGCTTATAATGGCCAGCCTCAACAAGAACTACGTCGACATGGACGAGTACCCCGTCACCACTGAGCTCCAGGTATTCCACACCTGTATTAATGATTGGTTTTTATTATTTAATTATATTTGACGAGACTGAAGAGAGAAAAAAAAAAGTGGGATTTAAGGAATAGTGATTTTTTTTTTTAAAAAAAAATGCAGAATCGGTGTGTGAATATGATTGCTCATCTCTTCAATGCCCCGATTGGTGGTGACGATGGCAATGCGGTTGGCGTAGGCACGGTGGGTTCGTCGGAAGCCATAATGCTTGCCGGTCTTGCTTTTAAGAGGAAGTGGCAAGCAAAGAGGAAAGCTCAAGCCAAACCTCACGATCGGCCTAACATCGTCACGGGGGCTAATGTGCAGGTGTTTTCTAATTGTTTTTTAATCTCTAATTTGTGCCGCCTTTATCGTTTACGAGCACACGAAAATGCTAATGCTAATCGATCATCATATATTGAAAAGGTTTGTTGGGAGAAATTCGCGAGGTACTTTGAGGTAGAATTGAAGGAGGTGAAGTTAAGTGAAGGTTGCTATGTGATGGATCCGGCTAAAGCGGTGGAAATGGTGGACGAGAACACGATATGTGTCGCGGCTATTTTGGGCTCGACGCTAACCGGCGAATTCGAAGACATCAAACTCCTTAACGAGCTCCTATCGAAAAAGAACGAAGAAATTGGTTGGGACACCCCGATTCATGTAGACGCCGCTAGTGGAGGGTTTATCGCCCCGTTTCTTTGGCCGGAGCTCGAGTGGGACTTCCGATTGCCGCTCGTGAAGAGCATTAATGTGAGTGGTCATAAATATGGCCTTGTTTATCCGGGTGTTGGGTGGGTCGTGTGGCGGAGTAAAGAGGATTTGCCGGACGAGCTCGTGTTTCACATCAACTACCTCGGATCCGATCAGCCGACTTTCACCTTAAACTTCTCCAAAGGTCTCTTTTTGCTTAATTTAAGTGGATAGTTCTTCGTTTCTTATTAAGAATACACGCTGTAAATTTACTTTGTATGTATGCATTTAAATTCTCAGGATCTTCCCAGATCATCGCGCAGTATTATCAGTTTATACGACTTGGCTTTGAGGTAATTTAAGCAAAATACTTTAACTTGTGCAGTAAGCAAATACTCATCTGTCTATATATGTACTCCATCAAGGGCTACAAAAACATCATGGAAAGCTGCATGGAAAACGCGAGGATGCTGAAAGAAGGGATTTCAAAGACGAACAGGTTCGAAATCCTCTCCAAGGAAATGGGAGTCCCGCTCGTGGCCTTCTCTCTCAAGGACAGCAGTAAGTACACTGTTTTCCAGATAGCCGAGTCGTTGAGACGGTTCGGGTGGACAGTGCCAGCTTACACTATGCCACCCGATGCCGAGCACATTGCTGTTTTGCGGGTCGTGATTAGAGAAGATTTCAGCCGCGGGCTTGCGGAGAGGCTCGTTTCTGATATCGAGAAGGTAGTGAAGGAGCTGGAGGCATCGCCGGCACGTGTTGGGAAGAGTGTAGATTCGAGTCGGGAAAAAATTTGTAGCTATTGGAAGAGGATTTCGGACAAGAAGAAAACGAGCGGGATTTGTTAAAAGGGAGAGGGAAGTTTAGTTATTACTTGATGTATCTTTGAATAAGTTGGAACTTGGACATATGTTTGTAGTTATTAATTTCAGGATATGACATATATCATAAAGAAGCTCAGACTCAGTGGCTAAAGCCACTTGATATTAATGACTTGACATTGCCTTGACATCTTGAGCAGGGTCCCCTGCCTTGACAAATGATGATAACCCCTGTCAACTTGAGTCTTGTGCACTAAGGTATCTTATCTTGTGAGCTGATTTTGGGCCAAGGTGTAGATTGTTGGTATTTATGGTCCAAATGAGATTAACTTCCAATAGCCAATTCCTAATTTGGCTTGAGCCCAGTCTTTGAAGCCCACTTGATCCCTTGCGATCTTGGTCGTTCGTTAAGCGTTTGTCTTGACTGTTCGTTATCCGGCTTTCTTTATGTTCTCTCTCAACAATCTCAACAATATGCTCTCTCTCGCCCTTTCTCTGACTTTATGTGTCCAATCAATCCATCTCACTCGTGTATGCGAGTGTTGTAATGATCTTGTGCTTGACCTCCTCCGTATATTTTCTACGTGAAAGATTCGGCGAGGTAACGAGCAGTTTCTGACGGAGTTTTGTGCACCGACCGGTGGTGTTACTGTTGGGCTTCCAGGGCTTCCGGAGCCAGACTTATTTTGGCTATGAGTCCATCTATCGGTTCTTTGGTGACTCATTCGAGGGTTTGATAAAAGAGGGTTGAGCCTGGTTGTATTCGGCCTATCTTCGTGGCTTTCGAGCCATCGCATTTGAACTCGGTGAAGAGTGTATTTGTTCTAATTTATTCTTATTTATTTTTTTAGCATATGTAAATGGGGCATTTGCATTTATACGGTAAGGAATTTTAAAGAATTACATAAATACAAAAATAAAAACTTATTTGTAAATATACCTAGTTTAACAAAATTATTTGGATAACTACTGTCAAACAAAAAATAAATAGTTACCATCATAAGATTCCCGTAACTGACGGTATTTTTTCATTAATTAAAAAAAAACAAAATCTGAACTATACAATCACAAACATCACGAGCAACGTCAATCACAAGCAGCGTCGTCTATTTTTTATCAACGAGATGGTGGAGAACACAACATATACAGAAAATATACATAATATAAACAGTATATATACAACAAATATACAATATATACTTAGGATCATGTCGATCCTTATAATTTTCAATTAAATCTTTCATACGAAAAAATCAAACTATACACACTCTAATAGTGTGCATATTAAAAAAAATATAAACAATATATATACGAAAAATATACAGTATATATACCTGCAATTACACAAACAACAAAAGGTATAAATATACTACATATATACGGCATATATACTGTCTGATGGAGATGAAAATCGCGAACAGGAAGATCGACGCCCTAGGTCACGGTCACCCTTCGCCTCCTCATGCCGCCTTAAACATTCGCGAGCAGGGAACCGGAATTTCAGTTCAAAATATACAAAAACCTGTTACAAAAATCGAATTTTGATCGGGCGCGGTCACCGTCTAGCCCTGCCTTTGAATCTCTATACCAGACGCCATCCGCCGGTCACTGTACAACATCAATTTGGGAAATTGACGTCAGTTCGCGCCGCTAATCACCGTTCCTCTGTTCGTCACCTGGGCATCGTCTACCATCAAGATCTGCAAAATCGGGAGTGAAATACAAGAAAAAAGGTGATGAAATTTTGGTGTTTTGAAAAGAATTTTGAAGGTGATGGTTTGATTTTGGATTTGGGAAGTTATATCTGCACATCGATGAGAAGAAGCAGATGAGATAAGAAATGAGAGAAGAATTGACGGCGAAGAAAAAGGGGAAGATAGGGAGGTGCTGGAAAAAGAATATAGTATTATTCCAAATAAAAGTTAAGGTGTTAGCATAATTGCAAATAAAAAAATATAGGTTAATTTATATACCGATAAAATTGATTTCGATAGTGTGTAGGGTAAATTTCTCTATTTAAATTATCTTAAAAGTTAAAATTACTATATATTAGATAATTTTCGGTCTCAGCTTGAAGCGGAGATACTAGGACTTGTTGGTCAGAGATACTATGACTTGTTGGGGACCAACCGGGTGCAGTTCGGGACCAATCAGGTGTTGTTCGCGACCAAACGAGCGCTCCAAGTCAGCCCAGACTGCTCACTTCAATTCAACTTGGACTGTTAGTGGGCGTCCTATTAGTCATGACATATAGAGCATTCGGGGTCATCCCGAGCCACTTAACATTATGGAACTCATTTTGATGTTTTCAAAAGTGTACCTCAAAATAAAAGAACTTAACCGAGTCGAACCAAGATTGCACGCACAATGACACGATATCAAATAAGAGAACTTAACCGAGTCGAACCAATTAGATCACACAAACAATAGCACGATCAAAATAAGAGAACTCAACCAAGTCGAACCAAGATCGCACAAAATATAGCACGTGGCGATTGGGAAAAATAGAATTAAAATAAAATAGAATTAAATACAACTCAATACCTTTTAATGTAATCAGTAACCGGACACGATCTTGACCCTCCAACCATAATCCAACGGCCAACACTCACATTATTCTCGACTGTAACATTCTCGCACACGGCCTTGAACACATGCTCGTCGAACCAATCCTGGGTGTATCCACCCTTGAACATCACGTCGCACTCCAGGGCCCTCGACTCGGCTTGACCACTCGTCAACACCATGCCCAAGGTCACGTTATCGAGGCTCGTGTCCTTGTCTACCATGTTCAAGCTGCGCCCCATGGCATTCTCCGACCACCCTGGCGAAGGCATGCACCGAGCCCACGCGCTGAAATCCTTGATTTTGCGGCCGCGGAGCTTCCCGACGGTAAACCCAAACTCCCACGTGGCGGCGGCTGTGGTCTTACTGCAGCCTTCCGTGGAGAGGGAAACCGACTCGATTACAAAAGTGAGCAAGGGAGGATTGGTGGCGAAGTATATAATAAGTATAATAAGCGGAATTATGATAAAACTCATCACTATCACCGCCGACGTGTACTGCTCGCAGCAAGAATCCGGCTGCGACGGAGGCGGCGCGTCGTTGAAGGACTAGGCTTGGGTGGGTAGTGTTGGCATTGATCACTGCAAAAACAAGTGCGTGTGTGTGGTAAGAGAGATGTGGGGTTTTTTTTTTTTTTAGTACAGGGATTTTCCGGTTTTCGGATCCACAGTGCGTGTTTTGACACTACTGCATTCTCAGGGCTCGAACATGAGACCACTGGTTAAGCTGGAAGAGATCCAAGTCATCTCATCCAAGCGCTTAGAGATGTGGGGTTTTAATATATAGTCGAACTCATCAGAATGAATTTGGTAACTGATTGAGAGAAATATGGGTTTAATAATAATCTATAAATTATATAAAGTGTTTTAACTGTGTTGGGACTCCATGAACTACACTGAATATAAACAATGCAAAAGTTTCGTAACCTTTAGGTCCCTCAACTTTTGTAATAGTTCGTAATCTATAAATTGTAGGTTAATAAATTGGGAAAATGCTACAATTCGTCACGGAATGATTTCGTGAAGGTTTTTTGCCATTAGATATACAGTTATTAATGTAGATATATGGAAGTTACATATTTATCTAATGGTTAAAAACCCTCACGGAATCACTCCGTGACGGGAATGTAGTCTTTTCCTATAAATTGTTCATTCCTAATCATAATGTTTTTCCATGCATATATATATGCATGCCTAAACTAAACATCAATTCTTTACCTAGCGACACTACAAGAATAATCATTTTTAGTGACGATAATTTTTGTCGCTAGCTATGTCGTCAGAAAAGATACCGTCGCTAATAATGTCCTAATATTGTCGCTATATGTTCGAATGTCGTCACAGTAATACTTCTTATTGTGACGGTATTTTTTGTGACAACATAGTGACAAAAATTATCGAAACTAAAACTGATTATTCTTGTAGTGCGAGAATAATTAGCATTCTTCCTTTGAAAACACCTCTTTTTTCATTATGCATATATTAATTGGTCAGATAAATCTTTTTTATAGTAATGTTTTACTTTAATAAAAGAATGCACATCTTCCTTATATATAATTTCAAAACGCGCTGAGCCTAAGTGACAACTCGCACGCTTCGTAACTTTACGTGGCAAAATATTATGCTTTGTAATATGGTTTAGATAAAAATTATTAATTTTTATACCAAATAACTTAGATTCGAATTACCATATATATATACACATATTTAATATATTTACATTATTCCATATAAATCTATTTATCATCTTCTTTCTTTAATGTGCATATTCCAACACAAATTGCAATACAATTACATTTGGAATTTTAATTAACATCAATATGAACAAAGGA